CTAAGAGCAGTATCTCAGTTAGCCATAATAGTGGTCGGTTAGTAGTTGTTTTAGTAGTAGTAGTAGTAGTCAGTAGTAGTAGTAGTTAGTAGTAGTAGTAGTAGTAGTAGTCGCAGTAGTAGCAGTAGTAGTAGTAGTAGTAGTAGCAGTAGTGGTAGTAGTGGAAGTAGTAGTAGTTGTAGTCGTAGTAGTAGTAGTAATAGTAGTAGCCGTACAGCAGCAGCCGTCGAAGTAGTAGTAGTAGTAGTAGTAGTAGTAGTAGTAGTAGTGATAGTAGTAGTGGTAGTAGTAGTAGTAGCAGTAGTAGTGGTACTAGCGGTGGAAGTAACCTTATTACTAGGAGTGATAAGAAAGTAGTACACGCACTACTAGTAGCACCCATAACGCTATTAATAAGTGTAGTAAGAGCAGCACCGATATAGTAGTAGTAGTGGCAGTCGTAAAGGTACTAGTAGTAGCAGTAGTAGTAGTAGTAGTAGTAGTAGTAGCAGTAGCAGTAGTAGTAGTAAGTGTAGTAACGGCTGCAGTAGCAGTCGCAGTAGTCGTCGTAGTCTTAGTAGTAGCAATCGTAGTTGTAGTAGTAGCAGTAGTAGCTAGTGAGTCGTAGCAATAGCTCGTAGTCGTAGTGCGTAGTCGTAGTAGTTCGTAGTAGTTTATTTTTTATAGTAGTCGTCGTAATAGTTGTAGTAGTAGTAGGATGAAAGGAGTATTAGGACGTAGCTGTAGAAGTAGTAGTAGTAGTTGTTAGTCGTAGTAGTCGTGTAGTGATAGTAGCGAGTAGCCGTCGTAGTATGGCGGGCGGGTAAGTAGTTGTAGTGGTTAGTAGTAGTAGTAGTAGTAGTAGTAGTAGTAGTAGTAGTAGTAGTAGTAGTAGTAGTAGTAGTAGTAGTAGTAGTAGTAGTAGTAGTAGTAGTAGTAGTAGTAAAAGCCGTAGTAGTGGTAGTAGTAGCTGCAGTAGTAATCACTGTAGTGGCAACCGTAATAGTAATAGTAGTAGTGGTAGTCGTAGTGGTAATAATAGTAGTAGTGGTCGTCGTATTAGTAGTGATAAAACTAATCGTAGTAGGACGTGCAGTAAGAGTCGGAATGCAAACAGCAATAATATTAGTACTGGTAGTAGCAGTAGTAGTCGTAGTACTAGTAGTAGTAGTAGTAGTAGTAGTAGTAGTAGTAGTAGTAGTAGTAGTAGTAGTAATAGAAGTACTAGTTATACTATGGGTAACAGGAGTAGCACAAGTAATAGTAGTAGCAGTAGTAGAAGTAGCAGTAGTAGTAGCAGCAGTAGTTATAGTCGTCGTAGTAGTAGTAGTAGTAGTAGTAGTAGTAGTAGTAGTAGTAGTAGTAGTAGTTGTATGCACCAGCAGGAACAGCAATGGTAGTCGTAGTAGCAGTAGTAGTAGTCGTACTAGTAGTAGTAGTAATAATATCAGTAGTAGTAGTGGTAGGCGTAGTAGTAGTAGTAGTAGTAGTAGTAGTAGTAGTAGTAGTAGTAGTAGTAGTAGTAGTAGCAGGAGTAGTAGCCGTCCGTCGCAGAGTAGTAATAGGTAGGCGTAATAGCCGTGTGGTAGTAGTAGATAGTGTTAGGAGTAGAAGACGAAGAAGTAGTAGTAGTTAGTAGTGTTAGTAGTAGTTGAAGTCGCAGCAGCAATAGTATAGTAGTACGTGTCGTAGTTGTAGTAGTAGTAGTTAAGTAGTAGAGTAGTAGTAGTAGTAGTAGTAATAGTAGTAGTAGTAGTAGTAGTAGTAGTAGTAGTAGTAGTAGTCGTAGCAGCAGTAGTAGTAGTAGTAGTAGTAGTAGTAGTAGTAGTAGTCGTAGCCGTAGTCGTAGTAGTAGTAGTAGTAGTAGTAGTAATAGTAGTAGTAGTGGTAATCGCAGCTATCGTAGTAGTCCCCGTACTGGCAGTCGTAGTAGTAGTAGTAGTAGTAGTAGTAGTAGCAGTAGTAGTAGTAGTAGTAGTTGTCGCAGCAGTAGTAGGTGTAGTAGTAGTAATCGTAGTTGTCGTAGTAATGGTTGTAATTGAAATAGTGGTGGTCGTACTAGCAGTGGTAAGTAGGACTAGTAGTAGCAGGGCTACTAGTGAAAGCCGTATAGTAGTATTGGTAGTAGTGGTAGTAGTAGTAATAGCAGTAGTAGTAGTAGTCGTAGCAGTAGTAGTAGTAGTAGTAGTAGTACAGCTGTGGTGGTAGTACTACTGGTAGTAGTAGTCGCAATAATAGTGATAGCAGTAGTAGTAATAGCCGTAGTAGTGGTAGTAGTAGTAGTAGTAGTAGTAGTAGTAGTAGTAGTAGTGGTAGTGGTAGTAGTAGTGGCATGCACCAGCAGGAACAGCAATGGTAGTAATAGTAGTAGTAGTAGTAGTCGTAGTAGTAGTAGTAGAAGTAGTAGTAGTAGTAGTAGTAGTAGTAGTAGTCGTGGCATTCGTAGTAGTAGTGTAGTAGTAGTCGTCGTCGTAATAATAGTAGTAGCAGTAATAGTCGTGGTAGTAGTAGTAGTAGTAGCAGCAGTAGAAGTGGTAGCCGTCGCAGATGCCGTAGTCGTGGTAGTAGTAGTAGTAGTAGTTGTAACAGTATTTGTACCAGCAATCGTACTAGTATTTGCGCTGTTACAAGTAGCATTACTGCTATCATTGTAAAACAAAAAAACATGACTAGCAGCAGTAGCAACTATAGTAGTAGCGGTAGCGTTAGTGGTAATAGTAGTAGCTGTTGTTGTTGTCGTGGTTGTTGTCGTAGTAGCGTTAGTAGTAGTGGTCGTAGTAGTAAACGTAGTAGTAGTAGTAGGAGGAGGAGGAGTAGTAGTAGTAGTAGTAGTATTAATAGTGGTAGCAGTAGCAGTAGTAGTAGTAGTAGTAGTAGTAGTAGTAGTAGTAGTAGTAGTAGTAGTAGTAGTACTAGTAGTAGTAGTAGTAGTAGTAGTAGTAGTAGTAGTAGTAGTAGTAGTAATAGTAGCACTAGTAGCACTAGTAGTAGTAGTAGTAGTAGTAGTAGTAGTAGTAGTAGTAGTAGTAGTAGTAGTCACGGTCGTGGAACCAGTGACGGTAGTGGTAGTGATAGCAAGAGCGCGGCAGCAGCGATTGCAGTATATGTTTCAGTAATAGCACTGGAATTAGTATTACTGGTTGTTGTAGTAGCTGCCGTTGCAGTAGTAGTAGTAGTAGTAGTAGTAGTAGTAGTAGTAGTAGTAGTAGTAGTAGTAGCTGTTGTTGTACTGGTAGGTCGTAGTAGTAATAGCCGTAGCAGGAGCCGTAGTAGTAATAAATGTAGTCTTAGTAGTAGTAGTAGTAGTAGTAGTAGTAGTAGTAGTAGTAGTAGTAGTAGTAGTAGTAGTAGTAGTAGTAGTAACCGTCGACGTCGTAAACGTAGTAGTAGTAGTAATAGTAGTAGTAGTACTAGTACTACTACTACCACCCGTGACAATCATAGTAAAAGTAGTAGTCGTGGTAGTAGCAGCAGTACATGTAATAGTAGTAGTAGTAGTAGTAGTAGTAGTAGTAGTAGTAGTAGTAGTAGTAGTAGTAGTAGTAGTGGTAGTAGTAGTGGTAGTAGTAGTCGTAGTAGTACTAGTAGTGGCAGTCGTAGACGTCATCGTAGTAGTAGTAGTAGTAGTAGTAGTCGTAGTAGTAGTAGTAGTAGTAGTAGTAGTAGTAGTGATAGTAGTAGTCGTAGTAATAGGCATCAGTAAGAACAGTAATAAACGTATTAGACCAGTGTTTGCGCGAGTAGTGGTAGGAGTCGTAGTATTATCAGTAATAGCAATAGGGGTAGCAGTGGTCGTAGTGGTCATACTGGCAGTAGTAGTAGTAGTAGTAGTAGTAGTAGTAGTAGTAGTAGTAGTAGTCATCGTATTAGTAGTAGTGGTAGCAGTAGTCGGAGTGGTCGTAGTCACGACTGCGCGTGGCTCTGAGGAGACTCTGTCTGCTCTGGTCGCAAAGACTACAACATCGCTCGACGCTAAGAAATTTAGCATCGTTTCGTAGCCGACCATCGCATGTCACGCATATCAATGGTGCATTACCAACACAGTGGGCGATTGTGCACTCCCGTTTGAAAAGTATGGTTTTGAAAAAATAGGAATCCTAATGCTCGAAGATTGCATGGATTGCAAAGAGGTTCAAAACGAAAGTTTTGGGTGCTCTCGCGGATCCACCGCTCCCGCCGCCTCTCGAGCAGCCGCCAGAAGAAGCCCCTCGCCAAGGGGGGCGTAGGGGCCCGGGGGCTCCTGAAGACGCCCTGTGGGAAGAGCCCGGGGACAGGCGTCGCGGTGAAAAGGACGGGCCTCGGGGGGCCAGCCGCGGGGGCGGCGCGGCCCAGAAGTTGGTCGACCTCCGCAGCCGGCTGGAAACCGCGGGCCGGGCGGCCGCGGAAGACCGGAAAGCTGACAAAGCCTCTCCTGGGCGGAGGCAGGCTTGAAGAGAACGAGGCGGCTTTCCCCGGGGCGGCAGAGGAGACCGCGATGGCAGGCCTAGGGGCCGAGACCGGCCACGGCACGAGCGCGGAGGGTCTCAGGGCCGGAAGGCGCAGGCGAGGCGCCGCGATGACCGCCCTCGAGGGTGCGCGAGGCGCCCGCCTCGCTCAACGGAAGGAGGAGAAAATTCCTGCGATAGTCGAGTCGCAGCGAGTCGGAAGAGAAGGGTTTTCACATAGTCTCGGCTTCAGGGAGCCGGTCCTCTGCGACCCAGGAGCGGTTCTGGCGCTTTGCGCGACGCCACCCGGACATCGTTTCCAGACGTCTGTTTCGGACGATGGCGAAGGCGGTGGCGCCTGGGGCCGAGGCGAACAGCGACGACGAAGACAACGAAGGAAAACTAACCCTGGCGGCCAGCGCATACTTTCTTCGAGTCCCGTCGACGAAGTGCACTTTGTCGCAGAGGAACAAGTCCGACATGTCACTGATGTGCAATATGTTGGACTTGATGGCGCTCGGGAAGGTCGACCGGGCCATGGACTTCTGTTGCCAGCGCCTCAAGTCGCTGGGGCAAGCCACCTCGGGCGGGAATTAGAACAACGGGAATTGGAACAACGGCCAGTTCCTGGGGCCCGTGGAGACGGATGGCGCTTCTCTCGTGAACGCGACAGAGAAGTACATGATGCGCAACGAGGTCCGGCAGCAGCAGAAGCTCAGCTCCCAGTCGGGGGGCGCCCAGGCGAGCAGCTGCAAAAGCGGCGAGCCGGAGCCGCAGCAGGAATGGTGGACAGACGACGGGTCCGCGCAGAGGCGCCCCCGCACGGGCAAGGGCCCCTACTTCTGCGCGACGCCGAAGAGCAAAAGAAAAGGCAAAGCCAAACCGGGGAAGTGGTGATCTTCCCCAATGCCCAACGCGGCGCGGCCCTGGATGTCGATTCCAGGAAATCCACGGCTACCGTGGATGTTGAGTCCACGCCGGCACCCATTTTGGATGGGGCCCCGGGCGCGCAGCGCGCGGCGGATGTTGCTTCCGCAGACAGCGCGGTGGCTCTAGCTACGCCCGAGGACTTTCCGCAGCTGTCTAATCAGATCGTGGCGGGCTCCTGTGCCGCGCGCCCCGGAGTAGCGACCCCGCCAGAGGCGGCCTCTGGCGGAGCGCAGGACCGCTCGGGCGTCGATTCCGACGGCGTCCACATTGGCGAATCCATGCAGGCCCCTTCCCCCGAGCAGCTTGATTAAGCTGCGTGGGGGTCAGGCCGCGCAGCGCGGCCCCGCCGGGGCGGGGCGCCTTTTCAAGGGGGCGCATTTGTGCCAGACCGAATTCGCATCCCTTCGTCGACGCATCCCACCTATCTAGTCGCCTTCGGCGCCCCCGCCGTGTCCGGGGAAGTCGTCCGCCACCGCGCTGCCGCGCTGGACTCGGCTCGATTTGTTCGCTCGGTCAGGGCAGCCTGGAGCCGAAAGTGCGCGCCCATATCCCTTGGTAGCGCACCGTTATGTACGTTGGTTACGTAATGAGCAGGCCGATGCAGGAGGTTGGGCGGCCCCCGGGGTGCCGTTTTGAAACGCTACCCCCCGTTTCCCTGCCCGAGGCAGCGGGCGCGACGACGCTCGGTCCGAGAGAATGCCTCCACGATAAAGTTTGCAGCTGAGAGCGTAACGGTCAAATTCTCGGCGGTGACGCAAGCGAAGACAACCGCGCTTCCCCCTTCTCCGCCCAGCCCGGCGATCTTCCGACAAGAGCTGAAGGAGCTAAAAGCTACAGGTATCATATGGGAGTTCTCAAAAGACTCCGGACCGTCTGGGCGCCCCGCTTGGGGGCCGCGCTTCTCGGAACCCCTCGTTCGGGGCACTCAGCGCAGCGAGACCTGCCCCCCGCCCCCGCGCGGCATGGTAAGAACAAGGCGCGCGAGTTATCGCGTGCCCAAGGGTTGGCGGAAGACGCGTCCTCGGCGCGCCAGTCGGCCGTCGCGCGCGCGGCGCTCGCCATGAACGCCCGCGGCCGAGCGGCCTGGGAAGGCGCGCCGGAGCTCGCTGATCCTTGCAAGGATGACGGGCCGAAGCCGGCGAGCCCAGCGCTGGCGGCAGCCCGGGAAGGCGCCGTGAACCATTTGTGGGAAGCAGCCCACATTTCGGTCTCCTACATGGTGCCAGCCGGCCAGCCCCCACAGTGGAACATCTGGGGGGAGACCTCCAGACGCGACAGACGAGCTGCGCCGGAGAGCCTGACGGGCTCTGGTCGCAGACGAAGCGTTCCCGGCGTGGCCCCTCCAAGGTGAAGCGGCCGCAGTCCTGGTCACAAGTCTCTTGGGCGGTGAGCTCTTCGATGACGCTTTGAACCCGTGGACTTGTATTGCCGCAACCGGAGTTTCCATCCGAACCTCCCGTTCCTCGCGTCCACGCGCCCGACAGAGAGTGGTGCAATATTGTCAAAGAGCACTTTCGAAGAGGCAGTTTTGCCGAAGTCCCTGGTCGACAAGTCTTCCGTGATCGGGCCGGCCGGCCTGTGCTCAACGGAGCCTTGGGGATCGACGAGCCCCCGGAGGGCCCCGACGGGGGCGAAGTACTGCTCTGGTCTATTTCCATCTTCATGCCAATCAGCGCCGACATTCGGAAACTGAGGGGCGACGACGACGCGTTGCCATTTGCATCTGTGTTGCCCGCTGCTTTCCTTGAAGATGGAGACGAGTTGTGGACGGGTTCAGATGACCAGAAAACATGTTTTTAACGTCCTTTATCTGCCGCCAGAGCGGCTTGGCTATTGTACATGTGCCAAGAAAGTGTCCGCCGCAGCCTTCGGGGGCGATCCCATGGGGTCCGAGGCGGCCGTGTCAATCATGCAGAGAGTCATCCGCGCGCATGTCTTTGAACGCTGCAAAGTCCGCTCGGGCACAGAACTTCGCCCTGATCGGCCGACGCCGCAAGGTGATGTCAGGGTCGCGTGTTTGGATGGTTTTGATTTGCGCGCCCGGCGCGATCTCGACCGGGCAACCTGGGCGAGCCCGAATCAGCGGAACATTCGGCATTCGTCCACGCGTGCCAGAGTTATGGTACCCCACAGGATGCTGGCAAAGCCATGGTGTCAGTGCTTCGAGCTGGCATTTTGGGCGGTCTTCTCATGGGGGGCCTCGGGCTGCTTTCCGTGGCGCCAGACAAATCGCCCCGCCTCGCCCGGATTTCGCCGGGCAGCGGGGGGCGGCGCAGGCATGCCTGCGGAAGGTGTCCCAGCGCATCGACGTATTAGAACTTATATGATATGTGTTTTATGTTCACAACAAATATTGTTCCCGATGTTTTCAGTCTCTGCCTTTCGTTGACGTATTCGACAGCCAGTTGGCCCAGGCTGCGATTGCCGCTGGAAGAAGCTCAAGCCGAAGGCTAAATCGCCCGAGGCCCAAGGCGGCGGTTGATGGCTAGCGAACTCGCAATCGATGCCAATTATGTGGGTGTCTGGACCATGTCGCAATTGCAGCTCGTGGATGCCGCGGGCCGCCTCTGGCGCCATGAGTAACGCGGAAAAAAAGGAAAGGGTTTCGTAAAGAAACCCAACACAGACACTTCAAAGAAATTGGCGTCACCATCGAAGCACGGGGACCTTACGACAAGGCTTTATTGCAGTTTTTTCAAGTATTTGCGAACATATGGTATAAGGATACCACAGTCGTTGTTCGAGCTCGACGATGAGTTGTCTGAGTGCATCAACCATATGTGGCCCAACGGCGACTCCCGCGGCTACGCGGCGGATGCGGTGTCTGCCAGGGCGCGTTTTTGCGCGGGTGTTCGCGCGGCGATCCCTACAGCCCGGCAGTGCCTCAGGAATTGGGATGAAGTGTTAGTGCGTAAACGCGCCTTCCCGGTCTTCAAAGAGCCAACTCGGGCCATGGTTGGCGCTGCGCTTGCGTGCGATAGGGCGGACCTGGCGGCCCTCGTCCTCGTGGGCTTTTTGGGCGTCTTGCGGCCGGCAGAGATTGCGCCCTTGACTCGCAGTTGAATTCGCATAGGCCGGGGCGAGAGAACCGCAAACATCGCTGTGCCAGACGCGAAAGGGACGAAGAGGGCCGGCGGCGTCGGGCATGTCATTGCCCGGGACAAGGCGACCGTCGATGCGCTCCGTTCGGCATCGGCCGGGGTGGGTTCGCAGCAGCCGATCTACTCGAAAGTGCCATCCCGGTTGCCCCCTGAACATAAATGGCTCGCTGGCTTATTCGGAGTGCAAGGTGGCGCTGTCGCGCCGCGCGGGTTGCGTCGCTGAGGCGCTACCTGGCCGCGGCCCCTTGCCGGGTCCGCGGGCCGCGTCGCAGTCGCAGGTCGGCGACAGGAAGCCCGCGCAGCTCGAATCTACATCGAAACCGCCGCGGCCCAGATGGGCAAGTGGAGCCGCGGGCCCAAGGCGGCAGAGTTCAGAAGAGGGGGTTTGCAGGAGTGGCGAGCGGGGGCTGCGGAAGGCTGACCGCAGGCAAGGGGCAGTTGGCCGGGGGGCTGGTGTGGGCCATGTGATTGGCGCGGTCGAGTGGCCGACGCTACGCTCCCATTTCCGTGTGTCCCGCGCCGCAGCCAGAGGCCTGGCGCAGGGCGCGCGGCCCCCGTTCGCGGCGACTGCGGTTTCCAAGGACACATGGGATCGAGAGAGAGGCAAAAAGAAACGTGAAACAGCGAGGGGAACGCTGCCCAGTTAGGCGGTTCACGTTCCATGCCAGCGCAGAGATCCGCAATGGAGGCAGGGGGCAGGGAATGCACCGTTGTGAAGACAGGGGGCAGGGGATGCACCCCCAGCGGTTTAGGCTCCCTTCTCCTCCCCTTTTTTTCCCGTTCATAACTGCACGCGACATCCCTTCCATCACTCCGTGCACGTCTGCTGCACGACCGTCGATGTGCAGTGTGCTGGGGGGCTGGTGTGAGCCATGTGAGCGGCGCGGTCGAGTGGCCGACGCTGCGCTCCCATTTCCGCGTGTCCCGCGCCGCAGCCAGAGGCTTGGCGCAGGGCGCGCAGCCCCCGTTGGCCGCGACTGCGGCGGCCAAGGGCGCCCGGGATCGAGAGCAAGGCAGAAGGAAACGCGAAATAACAAACAGAGTCGAAACATAATCGAAACACTGTCCCCGTATAATTCTTGTCTATTCTTGAATATTCCTCCTGTAGAGGGACGTGCCCGACTGAATCTTCGGTCCAGCCGTGCCCATTGGTCGTTGAAAGTAGGTGTATTTGGGGTTCCCAGGTTCCACTCTACTTTAGGCGCCTTTCTATTTCAACGATCGAGTGGCTTCCCATCTTCCCTCCTCTTCAGGGGGCGGGCGGAGACCCAGTGTATTTCCAGCGCCTTCCTAGTTTATGTTTCTACCCACTTCTTCCGACCGATGGGTATTCCTGCGACCGAAGAGGGCCCCCGAGGGCCGAACTCGAGGAGCAGCCGTGGGGTGGCGCAGAACGGATCGGCGGAGGGCCGGGGGGCCTCCCTGGAGCCTCGCTGCGGGGGGGGGGGGCCGGCGGCGACTGATGGGGGGGAAGCGAGAAGGGGCGCTTGCAGTCGGCCCGGATTAGTAGGTCGAACCTGCCAAGTCAAGGGTACCTTTGTGTTCTGTGTCTCCCGACCCATGCCTCCTACATTCCTGTGGCAGTGTGCCCCTCAGAAAAGGTCCTTTGTCTTCTCGCGTGTCCTCTCCAATCAAGTCCGGCTGTCGTGGGCCGCGGAAACGGCGGGGCGTTTTTCCACCGTTTCCGGACTGGGGGCGACAAAATCAACAACAGGGCTCCAGGATTGGAGCCGGAGCCGGAATTGCAAAGGACATTGCGAACACATTGGCAAGCAAACGGCGTTGGAACCAGCAAGAAGATGGCGCAACGGAGCCAGCAACAAAAACGGCCGCGTAGTTTCCAGGGCCCACTAAGGAGGGGCGGGCCTTCACAGAAGGCTCGGGAGCCCCCGAGTTCTTTCAGCCTCTCCCCGAAGACGCAGGGCATCTCTCAGAAGGCGCGGGGGCTTCTCAGAAGTCCCGCCGCCTTCTGAAAACTCCTTCGCCTTCTCCTCCTGACTTCCCCCCCTCGGTCGCCGCCGAAAAGGCCACCGATGGCTGGGCTCGAGGGGATCATGTTGCGGGTTGACAAAACGCGGATCGTCGGAAGGGCCCCGGGGAGCTTTACTGGAATTGCACCTCGGGGGGGCGGCGGCGGCTGCTTCTCGAGGGGGCGGGGG